AACCATAACCATGTATCATGTATTATTATAATTATTATTTTATACTTTTATAGCTGACCTTTTATGTTGATTTTTTGTACACCAGTTATATTAAATAAAAAAAAAATTACAAAATTCTTCTATAATTCTTGCTTATCGTGATACTATGATATTATCATTGAACATAAGATATGACGAAATAATAACCGAATAGATTCATAGTGATATCATACTGAATATCTCGGTGCTCTCAGGGCTTGAATTTTCGTGTAGAATGTCATCCGTTTCTTTCATCTATCTATTATCTATGGTGGCATAACTGCAGCTCTATCAATTCGAGCTAAACAAGCTGAAAGTGTAGCTACCATGGACTATTATCGTGTTATATTTTTTATCATTGCGTTAATTGCGATACTAACACTACGAATTAATATTGACTGATACATTTAAAATTGTTCAATTTTGATCGAATTAATCTACATTTATTCGTAGAGAATTATGTAAACTTTTGGAGTCTATCTGATTTCTGTCTTCTTTGTAGTCTTTTTCTTAGATGTTCTATTTTATGTATGGTTTTTATTTTAATATAATTAGTACACTAACAATTCTAATAACTAAAAAGAAATTGCAAATTTAATCAGCCATGTTTATTATAACGTGTATTACGTAGTATTTAATATTTAAAATACAATGTATTTTAGATTCTGAGTGAAGCGAAGAAAGTTTTTGGTTTTCCAAAGATGTTTAATTTTATTTCGTTTTGCGGAACGACTTTTCTGCCGGAGGACTTGCTCCGAATTTATAAGGCCTATTTAATTATTTGACTATAATATGGCATATATATTGATGACAACGCATCACTATCAACTAAACTCAGCTCAGAATCATTTTTTCCTAAGCAATAGTTTATCGTTGATTACAGGTATAGATTAAATTACCTATAACAGTGACTGCGCCCATTTTTATTATCCTAGGACGTCATTTTTGTAGTTTTATTTCAAATTGAATTAACTGTATAATAATAATAGTAAATAATAGATTCAAATAATTGATAATCTTCATTTATGCGTAGAGAATTAACAAAACTTTTGGAGTAATAAACACAGAGTTCAATCTTAAGGGTATTGAAAATCCATAATTAATGTCTTCTTCATATCTATTTTCTTGGCCTTTCGTTTTTATGTTAGATCTATTGTTTTTGTTTTAAAGTATTAAGTTCACTTACAAATTTATGCATAAATTTTGAGTCCATATAATAGACAAAATTGACATAATACGATAGTTAGACTAAAATACATCGCGTTTAAGAAGTCATAGATAAATTTATAATATCATTTTATTTGAACGTATAATCAAAAAACTTAGTTTACAATTGTATAAATTTATAATATCATTTTATTTGAACGTATAATCAAAAAACTTAGTTTACAATTGTTAACAATTATAATATCATTTTATTTGAACGTATAATCAAAAAACTTAGTTTACAATTGTTAACAATAATATCATTTTATTTGAACGTATAATCAAAAAACTTAGTTTACAATTGTTAACAATAAAAAAAAAACAATTGTTAACAATAAAAAAAAATTGGT